CTGGAGTGTGAGATCAACACGTACCGGGGGCTGCTGGAGAGTGAGGACTGCAAGTGAGTACCCTGCATGCTCTCTCGTCTAGGGAGCCCTGGAGAGACAGCGCGGTGGCCTGGGAAGAGCTGGACATTTGAATTCAGTGGCCCTGGGTTTTGGTTTAGGTCTTGTTATATAGTCACCATGTGACCTTGGCAATGTCCTTTTCTTTCTGGGCCTCTGTTTCCTCATTGGTAAAATGAGGGGGCAGGATTAGAAGACTATTTTTCTTCTTCATCCATTAACTTAAAAAAATTATTAAATTAATTCTTGAATGTAATTTATTATTCTTATGTATTTCATTTTCGTTAAATCAATATTTAGAGTTTTCATCATTATGACATCATTGTATTTTTCATAGCTGAACTACATGATGCATTATAATTACTTCCTTCTTTGACAAGTGTGACTGAATGCAAGTTCAAGGCAAAACATCAGTCAGGAGCAGAGAAAGGTTAATTGCAGGGCCCAGAAAGGAGAACAGGTGGCTCATGTGCAAAATCCCTGAGCCCCAGGACTGAAGGGATTTTTAAGGGGCTCTGGGTTATTGAGAAATTGCAATTGGAAAATCATAGTGATCTGACTTTCTTTTTTTCTCCTAGGCTCCCTTGTAACCCGTGTGCCCCGGACCACCCGCCCTCTAAGTCTTGCCTCCCCTGTCTTCCTGCGGCCTCCTGTGGGCCTGGCACAGCCCGAACCACTTGTAGCCCCCGCCCCATCTGTGTGCCTTGCCCAGGAAGTCGGTTCTGAGAGTGACTAGTCCAGAAAGCCAAGGCCACTGTATCCAGGGCTTGGACTTGGCCTCAATTCAACCGTAACCCTAAAGCCCAATCCCCTGTAACTTTGTGCCTAGCCCAGGCTCAGACAATTACACACTTTATCTTTCTCAAAGCCTGCTACTAAGGTCGGAGGCCTTAGTGACAATAAGACCTCGAAGGCCTCAGCTCCTCATTACTTTGATGGGGGCCAGAGCTTCTGTTCTCAGGCTGCCTCCTAGGTCAGGTTTTCCTATCGGGCGCTGTTTCGGTGGTGTCTGAAATGCAGCACAGGGCTTCTATTGTATAAACAATAAAGCACATTTGCTCTGGTTCTCAATGCCTAACCAGCTCTGTTCTGATATTGTTGGTTTGGGTCTCTGCTGGGTGAAGAGGGGTGACTCTTAGGCAGATGAATGGGGGAGGTGGGCCTTGTATGACCCTGGGGATGACAGGGTCCTTATGTCCCTCTTTGGGGTAGTTAGGGGTCTACAGTGGGATGTTTAACTCAGCTTTCCTGTTTAAGATCCTTCTCCAAGGGCTTCTCTGGTAGCTCAGTCTGCAAAGAGTCTGCCTGCAGTGCAGGAGACCCAGGTTTGATCCCTGAGTCAGGAAAATCCCCTGGAGAAGGAAATGGCAAACCAATCCAGTGTTCTTGCCTGGAAAATCCCATGGATAGAGGTACCTGGTGGGCTGCAGTCCATGGGATCCTGAAGAGTCAGGCATAACTGCATGACTAATACTTTCTTTCCAAGGTTCTACTGTGGTGACATGTGTTACAAGCCCCTCCTACCCCCTTAGTATACATGGTCGACTTGGAGTTCTAGGGGAAGATGGTTAACACTGAGATCAGTATAATGTGAAGCATTTTAGGCCACTTCATTAGCCTCATGCCCATTAGTCCCATGCTTTTAGAAATGTGCTAAATCTTCAATCCTTCACACAACCCTTCCAATTCAGTACCTCTCTTAAAACCCCACAGCCTTGGGACTTCCCTGGTGGTCCAGTGGCTAAGATTCTTTTCTTCCAATGCAGGGAGTCTGGGTTCGATCCCTGGTCAGGGATCTAGATTCCACATTCCGCATGCTGTAACAAAGATCAGAGATCCTGAGTGCCACAACTAACATCCGGTATAGCCAAATAAATAAATAAACAAAAAACCAAACCAAACCCCACAGCTCATCCAAAGCAGGAGATGGGGGAGTGAGCCTGGCATTGTGACTTCCTCCCACGGTTCAGAGTCTTGTTCCTTAGAGACTCATCATGTTCTGGAGTTCTCTTGACCTCTGATGAGGTACATGGTACCTTTGGGTCCCAAGCCATTTCCACATGGAAGTGGGGGCTCTCAGTCTCTTGGACCAAAGACTCATTTGTGTCCAGAATGTCTTTCTTCAGCAGACCAGGCAAATTGCAAGCTCTGCCAATCCCAGTCGGAAATGGAGAAGGATGAAGGCTAAACTCTTTCAGACAGAAAGGAAGAAAAGTTGTCCCCAGATAGCCACATGCTCTTCATAAGATGTGAAGAGCACCACTAAGGAACTTCAGTGATGTCAAGAGACATCAGTTGTGACAGTGCCAGAGGTGGAGAACAATTTGATGAAGGATCTGACTGAGGTGATCCTGAGACTCCCACAGCCTTTAAGAGTACCCAGTCAAGTCCACGTAATGCTGTGTGTACATGCTAAGTCGCTGCAGCCGTGTCTGACTCTATGATCCAATGGACTGCAGCCTGCCAGGCTCCTTTGTCCATGGGATTCTCCAGGCAAGATACTGGAGTGGGTTGCCATGTGCTCCTCCAGGGGATCTTCCTAACCCAGGGATCGAACCCACATCTCTTATGTCTTCTGCACTGGCAGGTGGGTTCTTTAGCATCACCTGGGAAGCCCCAAACATAGTACCAGCAGGGACATTTCTGAAGTGAGCATTTTTAACATCTATGTGCTTCCCAAACTGGATGTGTAATTACACTACCTTGTGAGTTGCGCCATTCACACCAAGGTAGTCAGGAATCATTTCTTGTGAAACCTGGAAGGACCAAACACCTCCACTCCCATTTAGACCTGTGGAGCTAAGCTAAGCCTTTAAAGACTGAAGAAATACTGTTCTCTGAAAAAACAATAAAATGGAAATTATACTTAACAAAGTTAGAGATATTTATGTTCCTATCACTCAGTGGTTCTCAAAACCACCTGGAGGATTGTTAAACATGGATAACTGGATCCCATTCTCAGAATTTCCAATTCAGCTGGTCTGGAAGGGACCTGAGAAACTGCGTCATTAACCTGTTCCTGAGTGAGGCTGATGCTGCTAGTCTGGAGGTCACCCTTTGAGAACCACCATTACACATTATTATAATAATGAATACAGGTGGACCTCATTTTCTTTCTTTTCTCTCCTTTTTTTTTTTTAAGATTTTTTGATGTGGACCATTTTTAAAGACTTTATTGAATTTGTTACACCATTGCTTCTATTTTATATTTTGATTTTTTAGCCTTGAGGCATGTGGGATTTCAGCTCTCTGACCAGGGATTGAATCTGCACCCCATGCATTGGAAGCAAAGTCTTAACCACTGGACTACCAGGGAAGTCCCTGACCTCACTTTCTTGTGTTTGGCTTCATTGTGCTTCACAGACACTGTTTTTTTTTTTTTTTTAAACAAATTGAAGGTTTGTGGCAACCCTGCATCTGGCTAGTTTATCAGTGCCATTTTTCCAATAGCATCTGCTCACTGCAGATTTCTGTGTCACATTTTCGTAATGCTCACAAACGTTTTCAGGATTTTTATATTTATGATGGTGATGTGTGATCAGTGATTTTTGATGTTACCATTATGACTCTTTGGAGTCTCAGATGACAGCACTTTTTAACGAGAAAGTATTTCTTACTTAAGGTATATACAATTGTAAAAAGACATAATGCTATTGATACTTAATAGACTACAGCATGGTGTAAACATAATGTTTCCATGCACTAGAAAACCTAAGGGCTTCCCTGGTGGCTCAGCAGTTAAGAATTGGCCTGAGCTTCCCTAGTAGCTCAGTGGTCAAGAATCCACCTGCAGTGCAAGAGACGGGGTTCAATCCCTGGCTTGGGAAGATTCCCATGAAGAAACAAATGGCAATCCACTCCAGTATTCTTTCCTGGGAAATCCCAAGGACAAGGAAGCCTGGTAGAGTTGGACACAACTTGGTGGCTAAACAATAGCAGAAAACCTAAAAATTCATGTGACTTGCTTTATTGCGATATTAACTTGATTGCTGAGGTCTGGAACTAAACCTGCAATATCTTCAGGATACAACTATATCTTATATTTTGGGAATGAGGATTTTTTAAAATATTTTTTTGATGTGGACCATTTTTAAAGTCAATATTGAATTTATTACAATATTGCTTCTGTTTTATGTTAGTGTTTTTTAAAAACTATATTTACAGTTTTTGGTTTTTTGGCTGCAAGGCATGTGGGATTTTAGCTCCCTGACCAGGGATTGAACCAGAATTGACCAGGGATGTGTCTCCGCATTGGAAGGTGAACTTTTAACCAGTGGACCACCACGGAAGTCCTGGGGGTGAGGATTAAATGGAAAATTTAATGCCAAACAACCAGCACAGTACCTGGTACTTGCACATATTACATAAGCACTGGTGATGATTTTGAAAGCTTGTCTGATGTGTCTCATTCCATGTAGTTGGTATTTATATCACCTTTACTTCTGTCTTCTTGAAATAGAATTTCTGGTTGCTGCAAAAAAATCAAACTGAGGGATGATTTAATCTAACCCTTTCAATTTGCTGAAGGGAACTGAAGCCCAGAGAGGTAGAGTGACTTTCCCAAGTTCACACAGTGAGTTAGATTTCTATCTTGACTTTTCTTAAGCAGCACATTTCAGGGAATAGGGCTGGGTGGCATTTTCCCGTTCCTGCCCCTCCACCAAATCTTCTAGAAATACATGAAAAATAAGACAAATACTTATACTTTAATATTATATTGAGAAGGTGCATGAATAAGAAGTGACTACATAACACACACATATTATTATTATTTTTTTCCATTTATTTTTATTAGTTGGAGGCTAATTACTTTACATCATTGCAGTGGTTTTTGTCATACATTGAAATGAATTAGCCATGGATTTACATGTATTCCCCATCCCGGTCCCCCCTCCCACCTCCCTCTCCACCCGATCCCTCTGGGTCTTCCCAGTGTACCAGGCCCGAGCACTTGTCTCATGCACCCAACCTGGGCTGGAACACACACATATTAAACACAAAGTGTGTGAGCCCAGGAGTTTTGCACTCAGGCCTAAAAACCACTGGTCTCTCCTTAGCTTGCTTTCTTGGGAAGTGCTCAAGGACTTCTAGAATCAGAGACACCTGCTCCTGGTCTCCTGGCTTCACTCATCCTAGCGCTGCAGTGTCACATCTTGAAAGAGTTGATTCACTCCGCCTCTGGTCTCTGAGGTCCCAAAGTAAACCACCCCCTCCACCTGCCCAGTTTTTGCAGAAAGTGAGAGCAGAACCTGTTTCAGCCTCTTCAACAAACAGTCATCGAACCCTTTGTATGTGGAGCAGAGATAAATGAAGAGGCGGATCCAGAGATGGTCTAAATTGAGCTTCTGCTCACAGAGGTACTCATGACATTGACCTCCTTTCCCAAGAGTAGGGTTCTCATCTCTTTCTTCCTCAGTAGCGTCCTGCTGAAATGATGTCCCTGTGCTGAGTTTGTTCTCTCCTCTCATGTTTTTCTTCCCCTGGGAGGAAGATGATGCTCATGAATGAGACTCAGAGCCTGTTTTTCCTTCCTCCCTGGATTTATACCACTGCCAGGATCCATGCAGCTTCTGTCACCCACACATTTCCTCCTTAAGGGGTCAGGCTTCCTCTTCCCACAAAGGATGCTCTCATTAAAAGCAGGCGCCTCTGCCCCAGAACTGTGGCCTGTCTCTGGGCTGGAGAAGGTAGGGGCGCAGGGGACAAGGTCACTGGCAGCCCAGGGTCAGGCCCGGCAGCCCTGGCCTGGAAATGAGGGCCTGGGCCTGGAGCTGGTCCTTTGAAGATGTATCCTGGAGCTCTCTCCCCTGATCAATGACAGAAGACCAGAGTCCCGCGTTAGCCAAATGACAAGCTTGGCCTCTTTTATGAGGAAAGGAACTCCTTATTGGAAACCAAATTACAAATTAATTAGCAGCTTCCTCTGGGATTGAGTCTAAACATCAACACCCCTCCACAATGATTTGGTAGCAAAAGGCCCCTCACTTCATGAGTATAAAAAGGCTCAAGCAGAATGCGGTTGGCAGACCACATTGCAATTCAGGTAGCTGCAGCCTTTGCGACACGCCATCTGACTGCTCCCCAGCCCCCATCAAGAGCTGACCCTGATCCTCCTTTTGGCTCCAGCTGCATGAGTTGCCGGCCGGAGCGGTGTCTGGGTTACATCTGCCAGCCTGGGACGTGTGTACCTTCTCTCTCTGTGTCCACCACCTACCACCCAGCCAGCAGCATCTTCAGCTCCATGGGTTCCTGCAGTTTGTACTGTGAAAGTGTCTTCAATAGCAATGAGAAGGAGACCCTGCAGTTCCTGAACAACCGCCTGGCTGCCTACCTGGAGAGGGTGAGGCAGCTGGAGCAGGAGAATGTGGAGCTGGAGAGACGACTCCAAGAGGCCTTTGACTTTCAAGAGCCCACCGTAGGTCCTAACTACCTCTGTTGTTTTAAGATCATTGAGGAGCTCCAGCAGAAGGTAAGGGCAAGTGGTGAACAGACTCCCTGGGAGGGCGACTGGAAGAGTGGAGATCCAGATTTGAATCTCATTAATTTCTTTAGCTACCTTCAGGGAAAAGAAACTTCCCTAGGGCGCAGCATTTTCTCATAATTCAAGGGCTCAGCCAGAGTCGTTCCTATGGAAAGAGGCTTGGGATCTAGTCTCAGTTCTGTCATCGCTTCATTACCTGACTCTAGGAGGTCCCTTTCCTGGGCCTTGGTTCCTCATCTGGAAAATGGGAATAATAAGGGTCCTTATGTCTAGAAGATTCTATTGCAAATACAGGTAAAGTGCTTAGCATAGCCCTTGATATGTGGTGAGTTTTCAGTAAATGTGAAGACTTGTTAAGAACCCTTCTAACGTCGTGTCTAATAAAGTCTATCCTTCCATGGTGATCATTGCCTCCAAAACAAGGCATTTAGATTCAATGACTATCCCGCAGAGTTCCAGGGGTTTTGGCAGGGGTGGTTGTAGGACTCACTTGGGTTCTTTTTGCTTCTTCTTGTCCTGGACTGATCCTCTCTGTGTGCTGTGGCCCTAGATTCTGTACTCAAAGGCAGAGAACGCCAGGATAGTCGTGCAAATTGACAACACCAAGCTGGCTGCAGATGACTTTAGAAGCAAGTGAGTTTGGCCCAGGGGATGGGGTGGGGTGTGGGGTGCGGGGAGAGCCTTCTCTCCTGGCATGTGCTTGGGGACAGTATTCTGTTATTTTCATAGACAGTTGGAAAAGTGCCAGCGGCTCCAGGTTGTCCCTGGGTCCGGTATTCAGTCTCAGCCCTCAGTGCCTGACCATGTTCTTACACAGGTATGAGACGGAGCTGGGTTTGCGACAGCTGGTGGAGGCCGACACCAATGGCCTGCGCCAGATCCTGGACGAGCTGACCCTGTGTAAGGCCGACCTGGAGATGCAGGTGGAGTCCCTGAAGGAGGAGCTGATGTGTCTCAAGAAGAACCATGAGGAGGTGAGGCTTGAAGTCCAACCAAGGTGGCCCTGGGGAGCCCAGTGGGGGGAACCTGGGGCTTGGGGTTGGCTAGACATGGGTTGAAATTCCCAGGCTGGCCACAGATTGTATCTGTGACTCTGCCCAATTTATTAAAACTTTCTGAGTGTCCTCATCTGTGAAATGGGGCTGACTCTATCAACGAGGCTGCTGTGAGAATTCCATGAGGTTACAGGTCTTAAGGGCTTCCCAGGGGGCGCTAGTGGTAAAGAATCAGCCTGCCAATGCAGGAGACCCAGGAGATGCAGGTTTAGATCTCTGGATCGGGAAGATTCCATGGAGGAGTACTTGGCAAACCACTCTAGTATTCTTGCCTGGAGAGTTCTATGGACAGGGAAGCCTGGTGCGCTACAGTTCAGAGCGTTGCAGAGTTGGACATGATTGAAGTGACTTCGAACGCACAGGTTCTCAGACACCTGTCCCTTGGTTGGTGCTCAGAAATGCTAACAACTCTCCCTTCTGCATTTCTTGGACTTGTGTGATTGCCAAGGGCTTGTGGTGGCTTGTTTTCTCACGAGAACCGCATACCAGGAGTCGAGTGGTCCAGTAGGGATGGGGAGGGGTTATTTTCCAGAACTGACACGAAATGGCTGTCCAACTCTGCTAGGCTGGATTGTGAGGTGGCCCCCACCTCTTCTAAGGGAGAGGCAGTGGTTTTCTTCTGTTTTCTCTCCCTGTCATTCTTCTTCCTTTCATCTGTACATAATATACTTCATCCAGAAGGCATTGGTCCACCCTCTGCTTTCTGACTTTTCTTCATCTACTGTAGGTCCTTGGTGTGAAACCCCTTCGCCCTGGGCACCTGTGTGCTGCGAAGCTCACCTGAGTTCAGGTGTTTCTTCCCTCGTTCCCTGGGTTGACACTCAACCTCTTGACTTGAAAGCACAAGTGTCTCTGAATCCTGGCTGGGTTTCCTAGGCTGAAGTGAAAAGTAACCATCAGTTACCACATACTCACCAAATGCCTGAAGGCACCTTACTCACCCCAGCTAAATCAGAGAACTGGGAGCTGCCCCAAGAGGCCGCTAATGAGGAGCTATCACCGAGTCTTGGCAGCCTTGGTGACAACTTTCTCTCCTTGGCTGCCAAGCCCGGGCGGTGCCTGCTGTAACTGGGGCCTTGAACCAAGTAAAGCCAGGCTCCTGCTGCTCTCCTTTCCAGACAAATGCAGGCTGGGATGGTGGCAGGGGAGACAGGGCACAGCTGTCTCATTTTAGTCCAAATGGATCAAGCAAACCCTGATGCTGCTCTCGGCTTCTGCCAAAGCAACAGGAAGCTTCTCCCATCACAGGGAGGTCCAATGGAGCTGAAAGACCCTTGGGATGCTTCAGGGTGGCTGCAGTCCCTACAGGGCCCCTCTAACGTGGAGATCTTTAGCATCCTTTGCTTCATCTTCTCACATCTCCCTGGGTAGGTGAGCCAGGATCACGTGACTTCACATTTTTCTGGTGCTCTTGCTTCTTTTCAGGAAGTTGGTGCTCTCCGATGCCAGCTTGGGGACCGCCTCAACATTGAGGTTGATAATGTGTCCCCAGTGGACTTGAACACGGTGCTGGAAGAGATGCGATGTCGGTATGAGGCTCTGGTGGAGACCAATCGCAGGGATGTGGAGGAATGGTTCACCAGGCAGGTGGGTCTCTCGCAGCGGGGCTGGTCTCCCCAGGGTCCCTGAGAGGCACTCCCAGCCTTCTCCTGTCTCCCCCATTGCAGATGGAAGAGCTTAACCAGCAGGTGGTCACGAGCTCTGAGCAGCTTCAGAGCTACCAGTCAGATATCATTGATCTGAGACGAACTGTCAACACGCTGGAGATTGAGCTGCAGACCCAGCACAGCCTGGTGAGTGTGCTGATGGGATCCTCTCCCCCAGCTCTGGATGCTAGGCAGCATGGAGAGTGGGTGCAGGCTTCCAGGAAGGAGGAGGGGGAGGAGCATGAGGAGGGGAGGATGGGGAGGAGGTCCAGATTTAGCCACCACTGCTGCTTGCCCAGCTGACCTCTCCTGGAGGAATGTTTCTCCCAAGACCCAGCTCAGAGATAAATAGGCCATGGTTCAAATCTGATGTGGGCTAAGTGACCTCTATATCTGTGATTCCTCTTTGTTTTTGTTTTATTCACTAGCTTATTGTATTTTTCAGATTCCACATATAAGAGATATCATGGGCTTTCCAGGTGGCACTAGTGGTAAAGAACCTACCTGCCAATGCAGGAGACATAAGAGATGTAGTTTGGATCCCTGGGTTGGGAAGATCCCCTAGAGGAGGGCATGGCAACCCACTTCAGTATTCTTGCCTGGAGAATCCCATGGACAGAGGAGCCTGCAGGGCTACAGTCCATGGGATCACAAGGGGTCAGACAAGAGTGAAGTAACTTCGCATGCATGCATAAGTGAAATCATACAGCATCTGACATATGACTTAGCCTAATGCTCTCCAAGTCTATCTATGGTGCTGCAGATGGCATTATTTTATTATTTTTTATGGGTGAGTAGTATTCCATTGTGTATATGTTCCACATCTTCTCTATCCATTCATCTGTCGATGGACACTTAGTTTACTTCTATGTCTTGGCTATGTCTTCTGTGTAATGCTGCTGTAAACATTGGGGTCCATGTATCTTTCTGAATTAGTGTTTTTGTTTTCTTCAGATATGTACCCAGGAGTGAAACTGCTGGGTCATATGGTAGTTCTCTTTTTAGTGTTTTGAGAAACATCTGTACTGTCTTCCACAGTGACTGCTTCTTGGTTCTTTTTCAGCCAGGCCATGGAAAATAGGCCTATTCTTATTAGTTATTTTGTTTTTCCCTTTGCCTTAGAGAGACTCCCTGGAGAACACTCTGGCAGAGACGGAGGCCCGTTACGGCTCCCAGCTGGCCCAGATGCAGGGCCTGGTCAGCAACGTAGAGTCCCAACTGGCGGAGATCCGCTGTGACCTGGAGCGGCAGAATCAGGAGTACCGGGTGCTGCTGGACGTGCGGGCCCGGCTGGAGGCGGAGATCAACACATACCGGGGACTGCTGGAGAGTGAGGACTGCAAGTATGTGGCATATGTGAGGTTTGGGAGAGGTTATAGGAAGTAATTGCCCATAAGATAGAGCCATGATTAAGAAGCGATTAGGATGCTGGCATGATCTGAAGACATCAGGCAGGTATTCATGGTGCTATCCCACCCCTGGCCCATTGGGACCATTCTGCTCCAAGCTGACAAACTCCTTCCAAGTGTCCACGTGTGCTAGGTGGCACAGGGGAACTGAGATGGATGATGACAGAGCATCTATTCTCAGGTCTTTTCCATCTCCAGGGAGACAGACGGGCCATTGGAGATCATACGGGTGTGTGTGGGGGATGTCTTTGACACTTGAGAGGGTGATGTAACTTCATGTGATAAGCTGTGGTGGGAGGGAGGACAGGAAAGGTCAGTTGGGCCTCATTTGATGGGGAACCACTAATGTCCATGCTGGGGAGCGAGGATTTTATTTAATAGACAGTTGGGAGGGCTTTCTTTTTTGAGGTGGAAATGATAAGATTTGCTTAACTGACTAACTCCGTTGAACTCAAAGACAAGAGAAAAAAATATTTACTTATTTTTGAATGCTTATTTTTATTTATTTATTTTTGACTGTGCTGGGTCTTTGTTGCTGTGGAGGCTTTTCTCTGTGGCGAGCGGGGGTGACTCTCTATTTGCAGTATGCATGGCTTCTCATTGCAGTGGCTTCTCTTGTTGTGGCTCCCAGACCCTAGAGCACAGGCTCAGTAGTTGTGGCTCACAGGCTTAGCTGCCTTGAGGCATGTGGGATCTTCCCCAGTCAGGGATGGAACCTGTGTCTCCTGCATTGGCAGTGGATTCTTTACTACTGAGTCACCAGGGAAGCCCAGGAGAAGATATTTTCATTCCCTGTATCTGGTACAGGGTACAATGTACCTGTACCTGGTACCTGGTGTAGTGAATGCTCAGAAAATGACCAAGCCAGTGAGAGCTCAATGCTACTTTTCAAGAAGATGGCAGCAGAAAGGACTGAGTGGAAAGAAGGAGGAGGGGCAGGCAGGGATGCCATTCAGGAGGCCTTGGGTGTGGCCTAGGTAACAAGAAATGGGGAGGCTCTGAATCCAGGCAGTGGAGGCATCCACTCCCAGCCATGGTACAGGTAGAACTGGCAGGGTTGGTGGCTGTCGGGATGCAGGATATCTCTGGGCCTTGGATACCAGGTGGGCTGATGACTGCAGGTAGACATTCAGCCCTGCTTTTCGATCATTTATAATCCTGTCCTCCAGAGCAAAGAGTTGCAGAGTCAAATCTTTTTCAAAGACCAGGCTAAGAACATACCGGAGTGATGTGGGTCACTGAGGGATGGTGGAGAACCGGGGAGCTCTATCCTGTCCAATGAGGATGGTGCTGCCCCCCTCAGGGCCATTTCTACCACATGAGATGAAGATTCAGAATCCTTGGATCTTCAAGGGAAGCTGGTTTTCTTTTAAATGTTAAGTTCTCATGATTTTTAAATATTTTCAACAAATTAAAAAAAAAAAGCCCAGTGCTGGCCAAATGGAACACACTTCACACTGGATGTGGTCCTTGGGCTGCCTATCCAGTCTCTGGGCTATTTGGCCTCCATCCTATGTCCAATGTATTGTTGCTGGTTTTGAACCCACACCTGTCAGTCTCTGAGATCATCCTTTTGTATTCCTTCTCTAACAATTGATGAATTCGTTTTATTCAAAACATTCTTATCAAGTCGAGCTCTACGCCAGGTATGCAGGGTGGGCATAGGGACTGCTGATCTCTCTGGCTAGTGGGGAGACAGACTACAGTAGTTCACTCTGGCTAAGAAACTGAGGATGCTTGGATGGTTAGGAGGGGTAAGAATGGGGTTGGGGAGACCAGTTAAGAAGCTGTTGGGCTCACATAGGTGAAGACAATGAGGTTATACTAGGGAAAACAGTGGAGATGGTGGCCACTGGGAGCCCTTGGGAAGCACAAACGTTGGGGTTGGGTGAGGTGGGAGTGGGGGATGCAGAAGTGACAGGACTTGTTGCCGAGCTGGGCTTCTTTCTAAACCTTGCCACATGCCTTTCTTCCGCAGGTTGCCGTGTAACCCATGCTCCACCCCCTCCCAGCCCCCTTGTGCCCACTCCCCGAGTGTGCCCCGGACCCTCTGCGTGCCCCGCACCGTCTGTGTGCCTTGTGTGCCCTGCCGCCCAGGCTGCCACTGAAATCCCTCAGCGATGCTGGATCCTCAAGGATGCGAACTCGGCGGCTGGTGCTTCCTGAGGCTGCGCCTGACTGCAGTTCAGCGGCCACCAAAAGAGCAGGGCCAGCCCCTGGGGGCAAGAAAGGCCACTAGCAGTTCCAGGAAGTGAGCCGTCAGCAACTGCGCTCTGATACTGCAGGGGGCGCCCTGGCTCCCGCCTCTTAGAAATGGCTGCTCTTATTTCTACGGGTGAATGGCTCTCTTCGCGCGTGTTTCTGGCGGTCCGTGCTGCACTTTGGAGCATTGTTTTTAGTTAACTAGTAAATAAAGCCTCATCCAGTGTCCTGCACACCTGTTTCCCTCTCCTTGTCACATATGCTGCTGTATCCACCAGCCAATTCTGCTCAGTTGGGCTCCAGAGGAATGTGGCCAAATCTTATTTTTATGCCCTTTCTGCTTCTATAGAGACTTGAGCGGCATTTACTAAAAAGACCTGCATGCCACAAACCAGTTAAAACCAGGCCACCCATCCAGAGCCAAGTAATAAAAGAATAAAGAGGAGGGGGAGGTGATGATGCCAGAATTCTATGCCAGACTATTGTTAATTGAGTATCTGATAACCCCAACCCCCAAACCTCATTACACCTGGTACAATGGGATCATTCATTCATTCAAAAAACCTTCATGCAGGTTCCATATTAGGGACTGACAAACCCATTGTGGTAGTCCTCCAGAACCTTGTTAATGCTTCATTTAACCCTTGAAACAGTCTGTGAAAAATGTACCATTATTGAGGCCAGAGAGATTAAAAAACTTGCCCAAGGTCGCACAGCTTGTAAGTTGTGAACCCAGGACTCAAATACAGACTTTCAGGTCCCAGTGATACTCAAGCAATTCATATTCTCTGTCCCCACTAATTACAAACACAACTGAGTGCAGGGGATACAAAAAAATGCAAGCAAAACAATTCTCACAGTGCAGACACTTATAATTAGAGAGAGCTTATCAGCGTGTATAAGGCCACACTCCTACAATAAGCCAATAATAAAAAGAAACTATTACTACCACTTATTGAACACTTATATTGCCCCTGGTGGGCTTTGCTGGTGGCTCAGTTCAGTTCAGTCACTCAGGCGTGTCCAACTCTTTGGGACCCCATGGACTGCAGCATGCCAGGCTTCCCTGTCCATCACCAACTCCTGGAGCTTACTCAAACTCATGTCCATTGAGTCGGTGATGCCATTCAACCATCTCATCCTCTGTTGTCCCCTTCTCCTCCTGCCAGTGGTAAAGAATTCACCTGCCAATGCAGGAGTTGCAGGAGATGTGGGTTTGATCCCTGAGTCAGGAAGATCCCCTGTAGTAGGAAATGGCAACCTGTTCTAGTACTTTTGCCTGAAAAACCCCATGGACAGAGGAGCCTGGCTGGTTAGTCTCTGGGGTCACAAAGAATTGGACATGACTGAGCATGCACACATTATGCATGCAAGCAAAATGCACCTGGTACTGTGTTGAGCACCTTACGTAAATTGATTTATGTAGTTTTCACAAACACTCTGTAAGGTAGGCATCAGGCATCATGTTCATTTTACAGATGGGAAACTGAGGCTCAGAGAGTGGTTTAGTCAGTTGTCCAAGGTTATAGGCAAGAACAAAGATTTGAACCCAGCTCCACTGCAGCTTTATTCTAGCCACTCTGCTACACCCCCAAATTCCTACCTGGAAAGAGTACAAGCTGACGAAGATTGGGAGAAGTACTAGCTTGAGGAGAGCGGAAGGGCTTCATGTAGTTTGTGGTGTTTGAGATGGGTCCGGAAAGTTGACTAGGATGTCTACAGAGCAAAGGACAGGAATAGGTATTTGGGGTCCATAGGAAAACAGAAAGCAGGCCCAGGAGGCTTTGAATGGATCTGCTGACCGAAGCAGCAGGCTCATGGGAAAGACTGGTGGGAATAAAGTTCAAATGGTAGGAAGGCATCAGCCCTTGGGAGGCCTCAGGTACCCTATGAAGAGTCTGGACTCTATTCTGAAGGCAGTGGGAGGGCTGTAGGATTTGGGCCCAAGGATGATATGACTGGAGTGGTATTTTAGAAAGTTCCACCAAGGAGTATAAAGAAGGTGGCTGAAAGGCAGGGAGAAAGTGAGTGGAAGAGACTAACAGGGTCTTGACTAAGGAAATGACAGTGAGAATGGAAAAATGAAGGGTCAATCTGAACAACTCAGTGAAGGAGCCAAGTAGGCAACAGATTGGCCATGGCAGATGAAGAGGAGAGAGCTGGAATCTTGAATACCTTTCTGAACCTCATCCTCCAAATACAAAGTCCTTCTTTAATGAGCTGAGGTGATATTTCTATTTAGGATCTGCCCTCGAGACTTGCCAAGAAGTGATGAGAAATGGACTGGATCCTGAAGCTGCCTGGGACTCTCCGGACATGATCCTGCATGCAAGCCTGGCAGACTGGGTCATGAGCTTGGCAGGAGACACAAACACACTGCTTAGCCGGCTGTGGTTACTGGTTGGAGTAACTTCAAGTGAGCTGCAATGTCAAGAGAGAGGGGCTTCTACCTCACTGGATGCTCCAATAACTGAGTGCAAACAAGACCTCCTTCTGACTTTCCGTGTGTGCGTGCTAAATTGTTTCAGTCATGTCCGACTCTTTGCTACCCCATGGACTATAGCCCACCGGTCTCCTCTGTCCATGGGATTCTCCAGGCAAGAATACTGGAGTGGGTTGCCATGTCCTCCTCCAGGGGCTCTTCCGGACCCAGGGATTGAACCTGCTTCTCTTACATCTCCTGCCTTGGCAAGTGGGTTCTTTACCAGTGCCATCACCTGGGAGGCCCTTTTACTTTCTATTGCTATGCAAAATTTATCTAGAATATGCTTAGCTTGATAAACACAACAGACTGAACAGAACCAAATCTTCATTCAGTTCCAGAATCCTGGTCCTTTGCTGTCCAATACTGTAGCCACTACTTTCATGTGGCTGTTTAAGTTTTAAAGAAATAAAATGGAAAAATTCAATTCCTCAGTTGTGCTAGCCACATTTCAAGTGCTCGATACCTATATGTGGCTGGTGGTACCACATAGGGCAGAAAATAGAATATTTCCACTACTGTAGAAAGTTCTGCTGGATGCCACAGTCCTGAACTGTCAGAATCACAAAGAGCCTTACAGATGAGCTGGTCCAATCTCTCCCATGTACAGACAGGGAGTCTCAGGCCTAGGGGAATGGAAAGATGTGCTAACAGATACACAACCAACAGGTGGAAACTGGAGCCAAGGGTTTCGCCACCAAGCCTAGCAGGTCTCTCTGAGCTCTGTATGCTTTCTCCAAACACTAAGTTTTATTATTTTTTCAGGCTAATAAATATTTTCCCTTTTCTCCTGCTTTTACATCTCTAAGAGTAGAGAATTTTTTTCCTCCTGAGATGCTGAAACTCTTTCCCAGGAATATAATTCTCCTTTCAAAAAGAGCTAACAACTATCTGAGAATTCTCTTGCAGTCCAGTGGTTAGGACTCCACGCTTTCACTTACGAGGGCATGGGTTTGATCTCTGGTAGGGGAATTAAGATTCTGCAAGCTGCGAAGAGCAGCCAAGAATTAAAAACAAAGAAAGAAACCACCAAACCCAGAATCTCCTCATCCTTTTTTAAAAATTAATTTTTTTATTGAAGGATAATTGCTTTACAGACTTTTGTTGTTTTCTGTCTCTCCTCATCCTTTTAACATTTGACTCAGTAGGTGCCTGGACCTTAGGCTGTAGCCAGTGCGGCAGTGGAAGTAATCACATAGGGAGTTGAGGACCAAGAGTCCAGGCCCCTAGACATTTTGGGGGTCTCTGTAGGTTCCTTGTCCCCCATCCCTATTGTCTAATCCAACCTCATCATTGTCGCCACACTTGTGTGTCACTCTGACTTGCCAAGGCCTGTCTGACCACTCAAATGCTCATTCAAGCTTTTTAATATGAAACCAAGCCCCACAGCCCAGGGCCAGGAGTGCTACCCCCTGCTGGTCACAGATGGCCACCATCTTTCACGTTTTGATGGTCCTTCCAATGGGCTTGCCTGGTGGCTCAGATTGTAAAATATCTGCCTGCAGTGTGGGAGACCTGGGTTTGATCACTGGGTTGGGAAGATTCCCTGGTGAAATGCGTGGCAACCCACTCCAGTATTCTTGCCTGGAGAATCCCATGGACAGAGGCTACAGTCTATGGGGTCACACAGACATGACTGAGCAACTAAAGCTTTGGATTTCCAAGTTAGAAACACCACAAGTGATCCTCCCAACCAACCCACCTCTCTTGTCTGATGGATGAGGAAGCCTCAGGCGTAAACTCTGGAAAGGCTTTTTTGCCTACCAGCAAAGAGACTGGACCCAGTGCTACACATGTGGGGATTCTCAGAGGAACTCATATCAAAGCCTCTGGATTTAATTAACTCAGGTTTATAGGAAAACCTTGGCAGGGCCACAGCAAAGTAATAAAGCCTCTGGCATAATTGATGTTTGGGAGAAACTCCCATGGGTAGCAGGATACTCCCTGAGTGGGAATTAGGAAAGAAAGGACCTGCGTTTGGAAGATGCAACTTTCCCTGAGAATATTAAAGAGACAGGGCCTCACATCTGCCACCACTCATGGTCCTAGAACAAGGCCTCCTTATGGGGTGGGAGTGGGGGCCCACTGGGGCAAAGGAGCCATTCAAGAAGCCTGGCCAGAAGGTGATACTTGCAGAGAGAAGGGCCCAGGAGTCAGACACAGTGATGAAGAGGCTGGGTGATTTGTGGACTGAATTATGCTTAATGGTACCCTGCCTATTTTGTTAAGAAAGCTTTCACAATATGATCAAAGCAGGATATGCCAGGTGAGAACTGGGAGAATCATTCACAATGAAACATTTCTCTTTTTGGGTTTCATAAATTTTAGCCTGTGAATGCAGTGATCTCAATTTGGCAAAACAGGAAGTTCCTAAGATCGTTTGATGTCTATCTTCTCAAACAATTGGTTGAGATAAGTGTATTTCCAAATAGTCCTCTTCTTTAGCCATCAATAAGTAACCAGACAGACACACAAACTAGCATCTTGCCATAATGGAAATAATCAGTGACTTTGGCTTTAGAAAACCTGGGCTAGCATTCGAATTCTATTACTAACGTGCTGTGTCATTTTGGCAGATAGCCTAACCTCTGTGCATCTCTGTCTCCTTCTCCCCTGTGGTAATGGGAATAATTCTACCTCCTTCACAGAGCTGTTGGGATAGAATGCATGTGAAAATGCCTATCATGATGCCTGACACATGGTAAGTGCTCGGTAAATGTTGCTTAAAGAAAATCTTCTTTGCTTTTAT